ATTTGGTTGACAGAGTTTGGTCACTTCGTGTCCCCTCTAGAGAACTAACCTGAGAGCACATGGAACGTATACAGATAATACTGACTCAATGAAGTTCTATAGGGAAGTGCTCATGAACAAAGTTTTTCTCCAACACACTATTGGCTACTATTGACTTACTGTACATGTAAAAGTAAAGTCCTCTACCTCAGCAACTATTTGTGTCACATTCACCCTTTTGGCCTAAATCCATGGTAGACCTTTCTGTGATCCCATTGTTTATGTTGTGATATTACTTACTTTGACTGATGTCATCACTAGTTCACTTACATTATTTTGTTATTTAAAAGAAATAAATAGATATTTTTATGAGAACTGAAAGTAACATTTAATTCTTTGTTTTTGTAGTTAATTATTCCAACAATGTCCATTTTTAAGTAGACAAGAAAAAATCATATACATTTCAGGTACACAATAATTTTTTATTTTTTAACCAGTAATGTTTCTTCACACAACACATCTGCTCCTTTTCCTCCAGCTAGCTTATGTTCAAATCAGCTTCTTCCACATTAAAGCTAACGCTATGGTGAAATCACCCTCGGTCAGTCCACTCCTAATATGCGCTCTATAATTAAATAGAAGCGATTGTGTTTTTGAGTGCTCTTTTGAAACCATATTCGCTGCAGACTTTTCACACACACAGTTGATTGCCTTGTTGTTTTTTCCCCGTTGCCACATTCGCGAGGATCCCCGTTCTCTCTTCTCCTCCGTACGGTCTTCCCTTCCAGGAGTTCCCCACGCTGCGCACACGCTCGGAGGGACGGAGGTGCGGCGAAGCCCGATTTTGACAGCGCCAGTTGATTGGTTCAGAACGGTTGCTGCCTCTTTGTAGGAGAGAGCTGGAGCTATTTTTAGATCAAGGGGGAGCAGGCAGAGAGGAGAGAGGGAGCAGGCAGAGAGGAACACTGCAGTCTTGAAGGAAGTTTCCCAGTTTTTATGCACCAGTCCCCAGTTGCTGTTTTTTAACTCATTGCAGTTTTTTATTGCATGTTCCCTCCTCCTGAAGTGCCTAAATACTGCACTTTAGGCACTTCAGGAGTTGGGACTGTGTCATAAAAACTGTAATCTAGGCTTAGGGTAAGTGCAATAAAGACTGTACTCTAGGCCCTGTTTACATGGAGACGCTGCAAAGTAGATCTCAAAAACGACCCTGCTCCGGATTCAAAGTGCAAAGCGTCTACACATTGGAAAACGGTGTAGTTCTAGCGCCCAGCCAGTAGTGGGCAGTGAAACGTTACAACGCGACACACACAAACCCTGCCAGTATAACCACTTCTTCAATATTGCTCATGGATCTATAATAATAACTGGACAGGGTCTTACTAGCTTATAGCTGAAGGACCATGGGCTCGGGCTAAATTCATGTAGCCCGAGTAATGTTCCCCATAGAACTCAATGTAAACTAAAACAGCTCGACCTCAGCTGACAGAGAACCTACGGCTTTCATAAAGGTTGGATTTTGTGGGGATTTTGTGTCCTTTGTCATCCATAACTTTTTTTCCTGTTATATCCGGTTTTCTATAAATCCACTCTTTAATGCAACAAACCCTGCTCGTTTTCCGCCCGCTCCAGCTCCGCTCTGATCAGCAACGCCTGATTGGTCAGAAGGCAGCTATGCCCCTCTGTGCACGTACACGAGAGCCACACACGCATGCTCATTGGTGTTTTGGCACAAAGCATTTATGGGATGTTCTCCACTGTGCAGAAGCGGGAGGACCAGATGCATGCCCAAAAATGGGTGAGTTCCACGCCCATGGTGGCTTCATTCGCCACTAAGCACAACCATTGATTTCAATACACCGCCATCTTTGATTGCCAGGGCTCGGCAAAAACGGATAAGAATGCACCAACATCATTCTGCATTTAACAGTAGCAGCAAAGACGGAAACTGCAACTCAACTTTTCATGGTTTCATTTGGACGGACAAAGGAATAGGATTGCTCCTCCGTGTAACTGCTGAAGCACACATTCTTCTTAACACCCACCAGCGCGCCGGCGTGCCGTTTTTATGTTTTTAAATGTTCTGCTGGCAATAGCAGATGTATTTTGAACACCAAAAGCTGTATATCATTTTAAATCTTATTTTCTTATCTACATTTATATACGATGTAAACTACATCAGACTTTGCATTCAAAAGATATAACACATAATGTGGGCACAAAATAAATCAATTCCGAAATAGTTTTTTACCTTTGGGCTTGTGCTGTACAAATAAATCAGCTCTCCTCCCAGCTTGCAATACATCATTGTTTCTCTCTGGAACAGATATATCCACTTGTATTACCCAAAGTAAAATCCATTCTGCAGAAATAATCCAAAAATGTGCATTTATCTTTAGCGAAAAAAACGAAAAAAAAAGAGCACAGATGTTACTCTTTCACTTTTAACGGACTTTTAGCTTTGTTTTTCACCCAAACATCTGGTATCTACGTGTTCCTTAGCTCCTTATCTTTCAAATGAGACTACTCCCAAAAAGCTAGACCAATTTTTGGGTCTGCAAGAGCTCCCGTGAGTACAGCTAGCGCTGCTGTTTGCGCATGGATCACTGATCTTTGTTGTTGTCCCTTCTTGTTTGCTTCTATTTCCAGGATATTTGATTGACATGTCTGTGTAGCCAATGAGGAAAGCTTTCGATCAAGGGGTGGGACAATGGTGTCCTGTCTTATGTTGTGCCTGTAGAATTGTGCGCAATGGCAGCCAAAAGACGCTCTCGAAGCTGCAATGAATTTACACTCATAAAAAAATAACTTTGACATTAAAAAAAAAAAAAACACATAGATTAGTAACTTATAAGTACCAATAATAAAAAATATTGTTTTTATGATGATTAAATATCAGTAAAGATATTTGGCACAATTTGGCACAATTGTGCCAAATGTGCACTACTTGATGAAAAGGAGAAACTGCATAAAAACTATAAAACTTAGAAGTCTGAAACTTTAGACAGTTGTTGTCAACAACACAATAAACAGAGGGTTTGAATATTGTGAACTTGCAATGAAGTATGCCTTTTTTAGGGCCTTTAGAAATTGAAAATGTTAGGCGAGGCTAAAAAAAAATAGGGTTTTTTTCCCAAACTTCAAAGGATGCAGAGGGAAATAGGAATGACAAACATTATTTTAGTGTTTTTTTTACATAAACTAGAAGGCTCTAGCTTTAAAATGATGCACCACACAAGCATGTGAGATGTAAGATGTGTTTTTAAATAAGCAAAGACATTTGGGTATGCCCAACTTTTGTGCACAAGCCAAAATGAGGCGGGTGTTATCTGCCGCTATTGTTGTTTACGTTTGTTCTCGCCTACTGCGCAGAAGTGGTGAGATTATCACAGCCAGAGAGTTCACACCTATGGCTGTGATAGGGCTTCCCACCGTGCAGCGTATCCGTTTTGTTGCAATCTATGCTTAGGGTAAATGCAATTAAGACTGCACTTTGGGCTTAGGGCAAGTGCAATAAAGACTGTTCTTTTGGCTCAGGCTAAGTGCAAGTACGGAATGATTATGAGGTGCTCTCAGTCTTGATGTCCTTTATTCCCCTGGTCCTAGAGGTCCCTGATGGTGCTCTTATCTGTGTCTGTTTTGGTCTATTTAATGTCTACTCTGGTGAGTGCAAATGTATCTCTGTGGTCTCTCTTTCTCTGGTCTCTCTCCTTCATCTCTCTCTGGTCTTTCTCTCTGGTCTCTCTCTGGTCTCTCTTGTCTCTCTCCTTCATCTCTCTCTGGTCTTTCTCTCTGGTCTCTCTCTGGTCTCTCTTGTCTCTGTCCTTCATCTCTCTCTGGTCTTTCTCTCTGGTCTCTGTCTGGTCTCTCTTTCTCTGGTCTCTCTCCTTCATCTCTCTCTGGTCTTTCTCTCTGGTCTCTCTCTGGTCTCTCTGGTCTCTCTCCTTCATCTCTCTCTGGTCTTTCTCTCCGGTCTCTCTCTGGTCTCTCTTGTCTCTCTCCTTCATCTCTCTCTGGTCTTTCTCCCTAGTCTCTCTCTGGTCTCTCTCCGGCGCGCTGATTGGTCAGAACGCTCACGTGTTACTCTGGTCCTGCGGAAGAAGAACACCTACTGCACAATATCAGGAGAACCAGAGCTGACCAGAACACGTCACTTCTGCTGATGTTTGGGACGCCCTAGGTGCGAGCCACGAGCCAATGAGCTCAGGCCATTGATCTGAATAGGCAGACATCTTAGAGACCCTACCATTTTTTTGCTCGCTCTGGTTCCGATTGACTTACATTGAAAAGCAAACTCCTCTAGCTCTGTAACTGTTTGTATCACACTCACTTTTTAGAGCTTAAAAATGGTGGTTTATCACTCTCTTTAATCCTGATGTTTATATTTTGATTGGGCTTCATTGAGCAAGTGGGTCAGCATTGTTCATCTATGTAGGAGTCTTGGGTCTATGGTCTTTGGAGACATAGGAAAACTTGTATTAAGAATTTTGATCAATAGAATAGAATATCATTTTGACTCTGAGGACAGGGTTAGGTACTCAGAGGAGCACAGGGACACAGCGTTTCAGATTTATTTTACTCATTTTATTGGGACTGAGCATGTTAATTAGCTCATCTCTCCAGATTGTAGCCTTGGACTAATTTACATCTGTTGTCACACTCATTCACCCTGAACTATTATTCGTTTATTTTTTTGTGGTAGGGGAACCGGAACACCTGGAGGAAACTCAGAAAGGCCCTGTGTTGACCGGGATTCGAACCCAGAACGTTCTTGTGTAGTGTGTGTAGTAAGAAGTGTAGTGGATAGCACAGCTGGTCTTCCCGAAAATGTGACACACAAATTTCAAATTCTGTTTAAAAACAGTTGTGTGAGAGTTTGAATGTTTTGTAGCTTGTATTGTTGACCACTTTATGTGGCCTTGTGTATGAACTGTGCTATACAAATAAGCCTGCCTTGCCTAATATTGAGGTTCTCCCTTAAGATTTTATGTGGGACACATAAAGCTGTTTTTTTTAATCTCATGTGTTTGATCTTTGAGATCTGCCAAACTCCTCCACATCAGTCGTGTCAGTTACAATGGAAAGCCATGTAGATATTTCTCATCATTTCTGTTTTTCCTCGTTGCAGTGAGCGACAGCTGTTACCGAAACCTGGCAGAGGACCGCAGCGGTGTCAACCTCAAAGACCTCGTCCACGACCCCTCCCTGTGAGTCCTGGCCTTTTGTTATTACGCTCTATAAATACATACGTGACTGACAGAGTGAAACATGTAGACGTGACCAGCGTGTTCACCCCTGCGCCACAACACGGTAATATCCTTCAGGAATCGGCTCCGAGATAATATTGTCTCACGGAGGAGAAGGTGGGAGATTGAAACAACAATCATGTAGCGAGTGGACGAGAGCCATTTGACTATAGGGCTGGGCGATATGGCTGAAAACTATATCACAATATAAGTAATTCATATCGGTCGATAACGATATATATTGATTGTTTTTTATTTATTTTTTTAAACGTAAATAAATAAATTTGTCGTGTCGGCTAACACATGTTAGCAGCCTTGTTTACAGTCACGGGGGAATGAGGCTGGAGCCAAATGTTCACAAGCAGTCTCCCCCACTTTAGTCCTGGTTTAATCCTCGTTTAGTCCTGGTTTAGCACCTGTTTTCGAGTGTCCTGTGTCCCCGTGGCGGCTCCGGAAAGTTAATCTCTTGTTTTTGCCGAATGCATCGAGTCTCTGCCTCTCCCGCGCCGCACATGCTGTTCCTCGCATGGACGTGTTTAACCATTGACACGGCACTGAGACACGATCTTTAGATCCAGGGCTATTATACCAGGGCGATCCATGGACGCTACGCATGGTATGGTAGTTTTTTTTCATTCCCAGAAAGTTTTGCGGTTTGTAGTCGGCTGTGATAGGTCGAGAAGTCTCTGCCTACATCCCCCAGAATGCCGCGCGCTTCTGACTCGGCTTTACTTCCTGTGTTTCGTTCCTGTTTTTTCGAACGGAGTGAAGTTAAACTATCGAAAGTTCTATCGACCCCGTTCTCTATTGATATTGATATATCGCGATATATATTGTTATCATTTTATCGCCCAGCCCTATATTGACCCTCCACAATAAAAGGTATTAAGCAGACAATATTATAGCTTATATGAGCCCACTTTCCACCAGCCCTACTCGACTCTTCTCTTCTCTATTCTACTCTACTCCGATTGGGAGCTTTTCCACCGACCCTGTCTAACCAGTACCAGCTCTGGTGCTATCCAGGTATCGAGCTGCTACTAAAGTGTTCTAATGGACAGTGATTGGCAAAGGTGCTATGGTAGCCAGGGTTACCAAGGGGCACTGACAAATCATTCTCAAACAAGAATGACTGTTTTATGAGCTTTTCACTACTAATATTGTGCCATCATCAAAAACAGACTTGCAGTTGTTTTTAGATCTATCCACGCTGGTATCATGAATTTGCGCTTTCTCTTCAATGCACTTTGATTATGTATTATTTTATAGTAAACAAATAAACTTTGGAGTTCTCTCATGATCCCTGCGGAGATACAAACTTCCGGAGCGCTTCCTGCTCTTCTACAACTGTGTAATGGACCCACCGTGGAGGCAGGAGGCTTCAATTATTCACCGCTGCATCTACAATCGTCCAGATTTTCAGGCACCGGGGCTTTCAAAGTATCACGCACTTATTTTATTCATAGACCTGGCATCTCGGCTTTCAGGACCAAAACGAGACCGCACCATCCAACATTAAGCAGCTGCTATAACAAGAATCACATCCACACCTCGGATAAAAGGCCGGATCTGGAGAGAGAGAGACCAGAGAGAGAACAGAGAGAGAGACCAGAGAGAGAGACCAGAGAGAGAGACCAGAGAGAGAGACCAGAGAGAGAGACCAGAGGGATACCTGAGAGAGAGACCAGAGAGAGAGACCAGAGGGATACCTGAGAGAGAGAGCAAACCCTCTTGACGATGTTTACTGGGGGCTCTAACAATGCTTTTGACGTGTATTCTTATAAAAGTGAAATGTTATAAACTAGTGAAAACCCATTTTAGCAGCATAATTTTCTTTGTCGTGCTATTAACACAAGCACAAAAGCGCGACAGTTGTTGGCCCTGTAAAGTCTATGGAGAAGTGTAGAGTATGTAAGATACAGCAGGCGTTGGAGAAAACAAAAGAAGTCACGCTCATTGGTGATTACTGGACGTCCATCAGGAATCCCAGCTCTCTCCAGGTCCCTGCCCAAACGTTGAAGCTAGAGTTGTTTGCACTGTGCGTGATGGTCATATCACTGACCATCAACTGACTGGAAAGAAAACATAAACAAAAGAGTAGCCTTTATTTGACAATTCAAGTCATTTAAACTTTGTTTAATAGTTCTACACACTGTAAAGAGAAATTGAGTAGCTTGTATTTGACAATCCAAATACTTACTTTTTGGAGGTGAATTAATCCAATCCCTTTTCAAACCAAATTAAGGGACATTTAGAATCAGGGAAAAAGTGCCATCAAATGTTAGCTCACTTAATTGTGACCTAACTGAGTTAACTATGACATATGCAGGGCTCGACATCAACAGTTGTCCGCTTGCCCGGGGCAACTAAAGATTTGGGACGGACAAGTGCGCTGTCTTAGCAAGTGATGTATTACTTTAACCCATTTAGGCCGGGAATGCATTCCTGCATTTCTTCCTATGGAGCCGGGAGTGGCCACATCTGTTTATCTTTCATTGGTACAATCTCTGGATCAATTAAATGCATCAGGATAAACCAGGAATCAAAATTTTCCGCTGATCCACAATCTCGACTTTATTCCGCTGAAAACGTAATTTCTAATTCAAAGACTTTCTGTTGTTTGCGTTACGTACTTGAACATGATTCACATCCCACGCTCTGAGCCCGGGAGCAACTGCGGCCGCTTTGTAACAACACTTTGCGAACCCACAACCGTAATGTGGTACCGTGCGCGGCCCGTAGACACGCGGACAGTACCATTGGCTGATTGAGCACCAAAGTAAAAGGTTGGGAACAAATCAAATAGACCACAACACAACAGACCCTCTTGTTTTTTAATTTTGCAGACTTCAGTGCCCTGGGAGCCATTATTTGACATTTTGGGCTTAGAGTGGGTTTTTTTTTCACACAGTTAGTGCCACTTTATTGCCAAACTCTTGTTAACTCATTGTATTGAGAAATATTTGGGCAAGTAACTTTTGACATTGGGCAAATAAAATATAAATGGTACTTGGTTGACAAATCTTAATGTCAAGGCCTGATTTATGTGATTAATCACATTTACATATTAATAGATAATTAACATGAATCGTTTCACAGCACACAAAAGATTAAAAAGACATATCAGACCATCTTCATCTGATTAGAAAACATGTTATTTGACCTCTGTTTAACCAGGAGAGTGCTGGAGAGTCCTACTGCTTTAGTAGTAGAGAAACTGGTGCACCTGGCGGAAACCTACGCAGAAACGAGAAGAACAAATGTACACAAACGCCACTCAGAAAGACCTTGTTCGAACCAGGATTCAAACCAGGAACTTCTTGTTGAGAAGCTAGAGTGCTAACCAACTCTGCCCCCTCACCCAATGAAGAGACCAGATCAGAACATTGTAGTAGTAGCTCTCGGAGTGACTGACACATGTTTCTGCTGCACTGCACAAAAATCCACCAAAAATGTCTAGTCAACAACACACTGCTGCTTTGTGCAGAAAAAGGCATCCCCAACAGTTTGAAACACACACACATTTGGCTCACTCATTTTCCCTCCGCTACAGACAGAACGGAGGGGTTGCCGTGGTAACCGGGAAGGAACCCCAGCTATTGGAGTTGAGCATATTTTCATTTGTGCTGCAGCAAAACCAAACAGGAGAGAGAGTGAGATAGTGAGAGAGACAGAGAGAAACACAAAGGTAGAGAAAGACGGAGAGAAACAGAGTGAGAGAGCTAGAGAGACTCTCAACTTAAATAACCCACTGCATTCAGAACAGAAGTATCAGGTTTAGAGGTTTATTGAAAGAGGAGCTTCCACATGCAAGTAATCGAGTATCCAAATGTAACTTCAAATGTATTGTTGTTTGAAAGAATACATATGTCCTCCTGGCCCTTTAATCACATGGAACGTAAACTCCCACCAGAGAGATTCACTGCAGGAGTTAAATAGATACATAATTAGATAAAAAGTTGTGTGACTTCTTCTGATGGAGTTTACACGCCATTGTTGACGCCAAGCAAACTCACTCTGATCATATTCATTATTACGATAAAAGTTTTTTCTCCATGAGATCTGTGATGAGGGGAGCAGCAGAGCACGTGGCCGTGCACCACTCAATGCTGCTTGCGGTTAAAATTACTCAGTACTTCTCCACGAAAGTAAATGCGTAAAACACATTTAAATCCTTACATTAAGCACTATTAAATCTCCAGACATACACACACACTCACACACACGCAAACACCAATATTATGTACAGTTCAAGAGTCACCAGACAGAAACTCCAAGACTCTGACGGTTAAAGTTTAAAAGCCTATATTTGAAAATAGCTCTAAGACTGAGGCTGTAGATCCAGGACTGAGGCTGTAGATCCAGGACTGAGGCTGTAGATCCAGGACTGAGGCTGTAGATCCAGGACTGAGGCTGTAGATCCAGGACTGAGGCTGTAGATCCAAGACTGAGGCTGTAGATCCAGGACTGAGGTTGTAGATCTGGGCGACACTAGCTCAGTTGGTAGAGCATTGGCCTTTGAGCCAGAGGGTTGTGGGTTCGAGCCCGACTTTCACCATCGACTCCCACTGTCTGCTGTCGGTGTGTCCTTGGCAAGACACTTAACCTCTGGGAACACGTGATGCCACAGTGGGGCGGCTGTGGCTGTACAGTGCCAAACTGCTGTTGTGTCCTTTACCCCCATTGTCTAGAATGAGTCTGGTGTGTGTATGAATGGTTGGTGGTGGTTGGAGGGGCCGATGGCATATACCGGTTGCCTCTGTCAGTGTGCCCCAGGGCAGCTGTGGCTACAGTAGTAGTTTATCACCACTGTGTATGGAGTGAAAGAATAATGACATGTGAAGCGTCTTTGAGTGTCCAAAAAAGCGCTATATAAAACCGATGCATTATTATTGAGACGACAATTTTGTTTAAGTCATATTACTAAACATGCAGAGGCAGTGATTCAGAGGTATGCAGCTAAAATTTGGAGCAGTCTTCCTGAAACTGTGAGACTGGCTTCTATCCTGACAATGTTCAAATCCAGGTTAATTACAGTTCTGTTTTGCTGCAGCAAATCTTCACTCTTTTTAAAGTACTGTGATTATTTATGATTCTAATTCCTGGTGTGATTTGAATGTTTTGTTTTGTTAAACACTTTGAGTTGCCTTGTGTAAGAGCTGTGCTATCCAAATAACCTTGCCTTGTAGAGGAAGAAGCCTTATCCTGTTCTCACTGTCGCTGTTGCATGATGCAGCCGTCTTCCCCAAATAGCACTGCATCTGAAAAAAGGTCCAAAAAAATAATAAAAGCTGGTTACATAAGCCGTGTGTGTGCAGAGGCTTCACCTTGAGCCCGGGGTTGTGGTAAAGCATCTGTAGCGCTCCGGACGGCCACACGAGGGCGCTGACACTTTGGATAGGGTGTTCAAAGGAGCTTGTCAAGGGCGTTTCGGAGTAACTCAAAGACTCATTTGGATATTTTGTGTTCATGTTCAACTGGACTGAACTCCTGAAATATACTGTATATAAAGAGAAAAGAAGCGAGCCTTTATTCGTCCCACAGAGCGGAAAGGTTGGTGTTGCAGCGCACACTGACATTTCGACATGGGACCCTCTCAAAAATGAGATGCTGCATCTCAAAGGGCTTTCCCAAATAAATCAAATCATTAATCAAATTATTAGTCAGACAGGACAGTAGTATCAGCACAGAGGAGCACACAACACAGAGATGAGGAGCTGTGAATGCTTCAAATAGCTGTAAATAGGAGCAATAAATATAGATTATTTACAGCTATTTGAAGCATATATATATATCTATCGATAGATAGATAGATAGATAGATAGATAGATAGATAGATAGATAGATAGATAGATAGATAGATAGATAGAGAGAGAGAGAGAGAGAGAGAGAGAGAGAGAGAGAGAGAGAGAGAGAGAGAGAGAGAGAGAGAGAGAGAGAGAGAGAGAGAGAGAGGAGAGAGAGAGAGGAGAGAGAGAGAGAGAGAGAGAGAGAGAGAGAGAGAGAGAGAGAGAGAGAGAGAGAGAGAGAGAGAGAGAGAGAGAGAGAGAGAGAGAGAGAGAATAAATCAGGCATGGGCAAACTTTACCTCCTTGGATTTCCAGCCTGCTGTCGGGCCAGGATTAATTTCCGATGTGTTTTTCTCAAACTTCATTTTTCCATATAATTATATTGAATTGAATTTATTGCATTTGAGCTAGAAGCGCTGTTGTGGCTCTGGATGCAGAACAGAGAGATGTTATAATCATTATTCTACAGTGTATTTATATAAACTGAGGGGGCTCAGGGGCCAGGGGCTTGTCCAGAGGGCCGCATCTGGCCTACAGACGACCCTTTGCCCAGCACTGCTCTGTATCTATAATGTAAAATAGTGGAATGTGGAAGAATAAATAGTAAGATATTATGATTGCAGATGATTCAGATGAATGACACATACAGGTTCAGCAGTTCCCATTGTTCAGTCTGACAGCAGCAGGAAGGCTTTATCTTATTTGAAAACATTTGATCTTTTGAGAGAGCTGGTTGGCTGAGTGGGGGTGGTTCTTCTCCTTCTCTTTTTTCTGTCATAAAAAATCTGTGACAGAAATTCATGCATTTGAAAACTAGTGACAGAAGAAAACAGTTTTGAGAGCGATTTAGTACATATTAACAAGTATTAGTTTCCTCTATACCAGACTCTATTAGGTTAGCGATGTTGTTACCTTAACATGTTCCGACGGATACTTCAGTACATAGTTATCTTTTGTATAATAAAGTTGTGCTGACTTCTAATCCCTTGTGTGTTGTGTGTCCTTAGGTTGGGAGGAATGATCGTGGCGTACAAAATAGTGCCAGATGAAATCGATGACATCAAGGTATGTTTTTCAGAATGTCTTCACATGGTTCTGTCTCTTGACCAGCTATAGCCCTGTTTCCACCAGCAATTATCTACGCAAGAGGGACAAAAGAAGGACCTGGTTAAAAAGGGCCAGTGGAGTAGTGTTGAGTAGAGTAGGGTAGGGCTGGTGTAAATGGGGCTTTAGCGTTGGTTCAGTAGCTCTGAACTGATGGTCAAGATTGCTCAAATGTGGATATGTGGATCCTGCTGTTTATGCACTTTAAATAAAACCATGTAGTGTTGTTGATGGTGTCTGTGACAATACAATACATTTAATCTTAAATACATACGTTTTTCACAAATTTGATGTGAAACAAATAAAATGTGGCCCTCTAGATCTTTATAAGGGATAGAGGATTGCTAAAATCAATAGCAGAAGAGCCAAATCCATCCATTTTCTTCCTCCCCTACTGTATATGTTGCCGGGTCCTGGGGGCAGTAGTCTAAGCAGAGAGGTCCAGACTTCCTTTTCCACACACACTTCCTCCAGATCATCCGGCAAAATCTTGAGGCAAAATTTTGCGTTCCCAGGTCAGCTGAGAGACAGTCCCTCCAGCGTGTCTTTTGGTCTTCCCTGGTCGCCTCCCAGCGAGACGTGCCTGGAAGACCTACCCACTGGTTGGCTCGCTTCTGTCAGTGTGCCGTAGGGCAGCTGTGGCTACAGTAGAAGTTAATCACGACCATGTGTGGAGTGAAAGAGGAATGCTGAGTGTTTAAAAAAATCGCTGTATAAAACCAATGCATTGCTATCATTATAACTAGGGATGCACCAAATAAACTTTTTTCAAAACCAATACCAGTACCCTAACTTGCCGATACCGAATACTGATACGAGTACTGATACGAGTACTGCATTTTGTTATCCCTGGGAATTCATTAAACTAAAACAACTGAAATCTAAAATGTTTTATTTCTCATTTCAACAATAAGAAAATACAAAAGGAACAAAGAAATAGCTCGGGTGCTAGCAAAGGTGCTAGCAAAGGTTACTCTGCATGGTGGTGAGTTTTCAAATGATGAAGTTGCAGGTGTTTTACGTGTTTGTTTTACCTTGTGATTAGGCCTGTCACGAATTTGTCTCAGAAATGATTGTGATAAACGATAATATTGTCGTTCTGTTTTCCAACAAATGTGACACACTGACTCGCACACGTTCAGTGGTTAACCACGGGCATTCGGTTTAAATTCAAAATGCTCCCACACTGCACCTGTCGCGATTGGCCTAGAAACTAATTCCATCGTTTTGTCTCGAACTCGCAACTAGCTTTCTCTCTGCCTAGTGCCGACCGGTATACTTTTCACCCGGCTCTTCAGCTGCACTCTGTGGTAGGCTACGGCAGTAGTCCCGCCTCCCCACACACCATGCGACTGACAAGGTACTGTAGCTCCATGTTGTGTGCGCGGGACCAAACCATATACACTGGACTGGGAACCGGACTTGGGAACTGCTGATTCGCTGTTTCGATTTGTCAATCACCCCAGGATTTGAGTGTTTTCATTATTTTCATTATTTTTGCCAACAAACAGCATACTTATTGTGTATTGTTTTCCCTGGTTTGACAATAGTATTTAAGAACCGTTTCAAATACGAAAGAAAACTGGCTTCTGCGCGTTGTATTTGTCATCAGTGGCCAATGGCCACAGGTGTGGACCCGGGCGTTTCATTGCCTCTCGAGGGTGAAAGAGATAGATCGCTCTCTAAATAAAGCTTGAAGGAATCAATGAAAAAACTACTCTGGGCATGTGTATGAAGGCCAAATAGGACTGTAATCATGTTTCAAGCAGAGAAATGTCCATAAGCGTAATGTGGGACCTTTAAAACACCGCCATACGGCCCACATCCTGCCCACGAAGGTAGCTGCCAAGCTAAGCTAAGCTAGCGGCAAGCGCTTTCCTGCTGTCTGCTGTCGTGACGATAATGTAAATTGAAAATGTGGGTATTGGTTGTCCGCATCGGGTCCTATGGTATGAGTACGAGTACAAGCCTATGGTATCGACCCGATATCCTATACCAGTATCGGTATCGTGCATCCCTAAATATTACTAATATTAGTATTATTATTTAGATATGTGTACAGTGTATTTATAATGGATCTATAGAGTACGGTACTCACTCCAATTGTTGTGACCTCACTCCAATTGTTGTGACGTCACTCCCTCACTTTTCGATGTTCAACGTCAACATTTCATGTGTATGTTACTTTGTAACAGGACACGCTGGTGGATTGGTGCGATGAAAAAGAACTCAACCTCATCCTCACCACCGGGGGCACCGGCTTCGCACCGAGAGACGTCACACCAGAGGTATGTTCACCACCGCTCAGATTGATGATTGCAGACGTAGACTGTAGACAGATGGACAACGCTAACCTGCTCGCTCAATGAAGATATGCTAGCTCTATGAAGCACAATGAGCGTTTGTCACTATGACCGTTTTGGGCTAAAAAGGTCGCTCTCTTGCCAAGGAAAGTTTATTGTATAGCACAGTATACACAAGGCAACTCAAAGGGATTAACAAAACAAAATAGAAACCATCACACTATATCATAAATAATCACAGTACAGTAAAACAAGGGAAGATACAATCCATCCATCCATCCATCCATCCATTTTCTTCCCCTTAATCCATTTCTGGGTCGGGGGGGTGGCAGTCAGAGCTGCACCCAGTCACAGAGTACCAGCCTCTCACTGATCCTCCTGCAGGTGGTGAGTCCACAGGAGCTGAGATCTTTCAGTGGGGGCTTCAGGCAAAGTGGGGTTAAGTGTCTTGCCCAAGGACACAACGACAGCAGTCATCAGTGGGAGTCGCGAAGTAGGTCTTGAGGTGGGCTTGAACCCACGACCTTCAGGCTCAAAGGCCAATGCTCTACCAAGGCCAAGATACAATCCTTCAATTGTAATTGTAAATGTCACAACTACGTACTTCTACAACTTTTTAAAAACCTGGGTTCACATTATCAAGACAGTTCCAGACTGTTCCACTAGCCTGACTTCCACTGGTGGAGGTAGGGCCGGTGGAAATGGGGCCAGTGTCTCCTTTAAGCACCGACTGTGTCCACTGCTCGCGCTGGTTCCTCTTGTTTGGTGTGCTGCATGTTTGTTGATAGATGGAGACATATTGAAGTCTTGGCGTGCAGTGTTGGAGCATTATCGCGGCACTAACACCTCGCGCCGCGCACACATCACTCCACACTCAAACCAAACACAAGGTTCCACATCGTGAGTGCGCTAAAAATAGACCTGTGGAAAATAGACTCAAACAAAAGATTATTTAATACGAGCTTTTTTCATGATATGGGAACTGCTCTATAATGATAGTTCTATAATTCTATTAAACCTGTATTGAAAAGGTTTACTACTACTGCTACTGCTACTACTACTGCTACTACTACTACTGCAACTACTACAACTACTACTACTGCTCCATTTGAATGCTTTACACATTCAAATGATATAATTTGAATGTGTAAGATTTTTCTCTCTACTTATTGTAATTTGATTAACTAATCTACTCTACTATATTGGGTTGTGTTTCCTTTACGTTTTTGTATCTGGTACAGTATCCTAGCAACCTCCACAACAACCCAGTATATATGTCTGCTGGAACTAGCCAGACGACAGGCCCAGTGGAAACACTCACAATCGGGGAATAGTAGAGTAAAGTAGATTGAGGCTTTTTTTCTCGTTTGTTTGGTTTAAGATCTACACGGAATGTTTTTCTCATAACTGATATTTTCGGCTTGTGTCTGTGTGTTTTATATAGGCCACTAAAGAGGTGATCGAGCGCGAGGCCCCTGGGATGTCTCTGGCCATGCTCATGGGCTCCCTCAACGTCACACCACTGGGCATGCTCTCCAGGTAACATCCCCACAACAATACACTGTAATACACTGTAGTACTATCAAAACCTGTCCCCGCGTTTAAGACCACAGAGAAGGCCCTGTCCCCCGCATTTAAGACCACAGAGAAGGTCCTGTCCCCCAGGTTTAAGACCACAGAGAAGGTCCTGTCCCCCAGGTTTAAGACCACAAAGAAGGTCCTGTCCCCCGCGTTTAAGACCACAGAGAAGGCCCTGTCCCCTGGGTTTAAGACCACAGAGAAGGCCCTGTCCCCCGCATTTAAGACCACAGAGAAGGCCCTGTCCCCCGCATTTAAGACCACAGAGAAGGCCCTGTCCCCCGCATTTAAGACCACAGAGAAGGCCCTGTCCCCCGGGTTTAAGACCACAGAGAAGGCCCTCTCCTCCAGGTTTAAGACCACAGAGAAGGCCCTCTCCTCCAGGTTTAAGACCACAGAGAAGGCCCTGTTCCACGGGTTTAAGACCACAGAGAAGGCCCTCTCCTCCAGGTTTAAGACCACAGAGAAGGCCCTGTTCCACGGGTTTAAGACCACAGAGAAGGCCCTGTCCCCTGGGTTGAAGACCCTCTTGTACAGACTGCTTAGAGCCAATGTTCATGTTCATGTTTGTGTTGTTGCAGACCTGTTTGTGGCATTCGGGGCAAGACGCTCATCATAAACCTCCCTGGAAGCAAAAAAGGCTCCCAGGTAAGAGCCAGGACTCACTGCTGGCCCCTGCAGGCATGGGACACACTGGAGACAGGACCACATACTGCTACAATGCATGGGCTTATAGGTTTCTACCTAAGATGTTCTCTATAATATGGTCATCTGTCTCCCATGGCTCTTCATGGGAGACACCCACAAAGCTGTGGGCGATGCGGACAAAGACATAATATCGCTATATGGAAATATCACAATAATGATTTAATTCACAATATAATTATAGTGCTAGGAAATAAATTCAAAACTGCACAACTCACAAATTGGAGTAATTAGTCCATAAGGGACGGGATGACCACTGTCCATAGATGTTTATAAATGTCCCAGATCATTACTGTTCTTCTCGACAAAGAATAGGTTAAAAAACCTTTGGGAATAGCGTGAGAAACCTTGGGGAGGCCCATATTCAGAGAGTGGTAAACGTGGGGAAATGACTCTATAAAACATATGGTGCAATTTAATTGAATGCGATCACAGATACTTTGAACAGAATTTGACCAAAGAAATTCACAAAACAAGGAAAAAAAACAGCTCTGTCCATGACGTCATAGTTTGAGGACCATAGATTGTATTTAGATGGACAGTGCTAACTCGCTAGCTTAATGATTCCCAATAGGGAAGTGCTTGTGGCTAAAGTTTTGCTCCATCTCGCTCTGGCTCCCATTGACTTGCATGTAAAAGTAAACTCCTCCAGCTCTATCGTTCTATCATTCATAGGGGAAATTCCAGCTTGGTTTTGTTAACGTCCTAGCAACTAGGGCTGGGCAATAAATCAAATTTAGGCAATTAATCGGCTTTGGAAAAAATCAAATTTGGGCAAAATGTGAAAATTCTGAAATCGAATGAACAATATTGTGAGAGTTCCAGCAGCACATGAATTATACTTGAAAAATCAGCACAGTCTGTACAAGACTTTTATAATACTTATTAGGGGAAACAAATTAAAGTTTTGAAATTTTGATATTGAGCGGAATAATCAAAACATATTTTTAAGGACAAAGTCTGTCTTCTGTGACTTAAATGAAAATTGATTTAAAATAAATATCGTCCAGAGCAGGAAATAAAATTGAGATTTTACTTTTTGCCATATCGCCCAGCCCTACTAGCAACACATCTGTCCCTGTTTTGGAGTGAAGCTAACACCGCAGATGAAATTGGCTCCAGCTAGCTTATGTTCATATCTGCCTCTTCTGTTTTAAGGCTAACACTATGGTGATGTCACACATGATATTGTTATTTCAAACGTGAGTTTTTTATACCACATGTTTGTCACTCTTCTGATACATTTGATATAGTTTGTCTTTTGTTCTTTCTTTGCTGAACTTTGGCTGAGATCCTTGTGTTGCGAAGAATTCCGCCCACATCACTATTCTTAGCGCTTACTCAGACTCTGTGCTTATACATAGTCCTCAGCTCTTAATATATCTGTCTTTTTCACTGAATTTGGCTTTTTGTAAAAACACAATTTTTTATCTATTTATTTATTAGTAAGTAAGCAAGTAAAGTTTATTTGGATAGCGCCTTTCACAGACCAGGATCACAAAGCGCTTCACATTTAAAACATAGAGAAGAGGGTCCTCATCATGAACACGGAGTTCACGGACGACTTAAGTACATTGACGCGAGAAAGCCTGTCTAAACAAATGCGTCTTAAGTTGAGACTTAAAATCAACAACAGTCTCTAACATGCGCAGAGACGCTCTTTCCAAAGGTGAGGAGCAACTGCCTGGAAGGATCTGTCTCCTCTGGTTTTAAAGCGAGTGCGGGAGACCATCAGTAGGTTCTGAGTGGAGGACCTCAGGCTCCTGTTGGAGACATAGGGATGGATCAGGCCCTGGGTGTTGTATTTTCAGTTTTTTTTTTTTTTTTTACTGGGATTAAGCAGGTTCTAAGTTTGGCACTGGTTCTATTTAGGCCGAGCTAGTACTATAATGTTCTAAAGCCCCATTTCCACCAGCCTAACTTGGCCCTTCTCTACTCTACCTGGTTTGTTATGTATCTTGTACTGTATCCTGGCAATCTACCCACAACCCATCAGTATCTGAGGAAATTCCTTGGTAACCGTGGCTTCCAACAGCACTCTGGTCAATCAGTGTCAGTTAGAATACTTTAGTACCAGCTCGGCCTGGATATAACCAGAGCCTAGAGGGACAATAGAAGGACCACACCAGGGAGAGCAGAGTAAGGCTGGTGGAAACGGCTCAAAACTGACAATGATTGGCCAGAGTGCCATGATTTCCAAGGAATTTGTTGTAGGTAGGTTTCTAGAGTAGAGTAGAGTAGAGTAGAGTAGAGTAGAGTAGAGTAGAGTAGGGTTTGTGGAAACAGGTCAGTCTCAGATATAGATGCTGTGTTTCATATTGACTTATACTGTGTTCCCAAGTGACTACAATTCCTAAGGGAGTGGTAAATCTACCCCATGGTGACATCTGCTGTGACAGAAAGAGCCAGTAGAGGGCAATAAACTTCCAAAAGTCCATGTTAGTGTAAAAGGAAAAAATAATAGAAAGAAATTCTCAAGCATTAATACTGTAACATCAAGGATTGAGGTAATGTGATCAGAAGAATAGTGTGGAATGGGTTCATAAAGACTTCACAGAAGTTCCAGGTCTATAGAGGCTCTGTTGAAATTCCCAAACACAAAAGTAGAAATAGTTTTAATTACATAAAACCTTATGCAGAGACCCTCTCCTTTACATTTGTATTATTTGCTTAATTTAGTAATAATTAATATAAATAAAGCATCGGTTTTATTCTATCGCTTTTTGGACACTCAGATGCTTTACATGTCATTATTTATTGAGTCCATACACAGTGGTGATAAACTACTACTGTAGTCACAGCTGCCCTGGGGCACACTGACAGAAGCGAGGCAACCAGTATGTGCCACACACACCAGACTCATTCTAGGCCTTGGGGGTGAAGTGTCTTGCCTAAGGACACAACAGCAGAAGAAAGATGCATTCACTTTTGTGCGGAAAATAGACACTTTTCTTTGGCATTTTTCATAAAATTCCAAAAGTGCGATACTTTCAGCGGGGTGGCACTGGGGGAGGCAAGTACTTTGACAGGCGTGTCAAAAGCAACTCCAACTACCCATGTGGCTCCGCCTCTGAGGCTAAGTGACGGCCACATTCTCCCACAGTCTCTGATCGTTTCCTAATCTCTTGTTTCTCCCTTTTCTGCAGGAATGCTTCCAGTTCATCCTGCCCGCGCTGCCCCACGCCATCGACCTGCTGCGGGACGCAGTGGTGCGGGTGAAGGAGGCGTCAGACGGCCTAGAGGAGCTGCCCTCGCCCCCGCCCCCCTTGTCTCCTCCCCCGCGCAGCCCCTCCCCCTCTCGCTCGCACACACAGGACAAGGGCGTGCAGTGCGAGGACGAGGACGAGGACAAGAAAGACAGCGGTGTAGCGTCCACAGAAGACAGCCAGTCCTCCCACATCACCGCGGCCTCCATCGCTGCTAAGGTACGGGGCCAGAGACACAGACAGGTGCGGGTCGCGCTTTTGTCCATTCTGCATTTTCACTTTGATGTCACACTGAGCGATGCAATATGTAGGATTGGTATAAGTTCAAGGGCCAAAGGTCAAGGTATGGATCTTTTCTACCACTATATGTGCAACTATGTTAAATCTGAGCTGTCATTACAACTTAGTAGAAGTCGATTCAATTCAATGTATCACTACAGCAGTCGTCTCTGAGGAGTTTACAAAGTTGTGGATTCACCAACAACATATCAGAGAATCAAACCGTTCAAACACATAAAATGCAAAAATAATGAACCCAGGAAGACTTCTGTCCAGAAAAGTAAAAAAATGTCCTGGGTCAGACCCTCCTCAGCACAATGGGAAAGACTGTAGATCCAGGACTGAGGCTTTAGATCCAGGACTGAGGCTGTAGATCCAGGACTGAGGTTGTAGATCCAGGACTGAGGCTTTAGATCCAGGACTGAGTTTTGCAGATTATTGTTATGGTCCGCTCAGTTTCAACATAGTTACACAAAAAATATTTAAAAAGATCCATATAAGATTCAACTTTATTGTCCCAGAAGGAAAGTTTGTCTTTGGTCTCTCCCAACATCAGGACAATCTAAATACTCCACAAAATTGCACAGTCCACTAAAGTGCTTGTGCAATAAATGCCAAAATACAAGTTAAGAAACCAGTACAATACCACAGTTAAAAACAGTATTTACACAATAAACAACAATTTACATACTGTAGATTGTCCACAGTGAAGAAAGTACATTGCACATGACAAAGTGCTTTTGCAGTTGTAAAGTGCTGGATATCATTAAGGCTGAGGTACAGAACTTTCCCTTTTTCTTTTCTAACACATTCAGATGGCATGGTGTGGTCTAATTTTGGCTCAACATACAGACTTTCGACTGGGGCAATCAACATGTATTATTTATTAAAGTAAAAAGTTAGGTATCCCAGCTTTACTCGTCTCTGGTGCCTCCACAAACCAGTGATGAATAGAAGACGCAAAGTAGAATTATCGCTTCAATTCCCTGGGCCATTTTTGTTCATAATTAAAATCCTACACATTCCATCTCTGCATGAGTGTGACTGAAGGCACTGGAACAGACAAAAACACCATTTGGATATTGAAATCCTGAATGATGATTGAGATCACGCCCCCTGGTGGCAAGAGTCAAATCCTGCATAAACACAGTCATTATCAACTTGGAATAATCAAAGCTAATAAAGCTGTTACATTCAGATGTACATAATGAGTCAGAGAAATGCAATAAGAACAAATCCTCAACAAATCTAATGGTGTGTGAAGAGAAGTCTTTATGCGTACATGAAGTGGACACCGACAGACAGCAGACCCTCACCCTCTTCTGAGCTCACAGTAGTCTCTTATATACACGTAGTACAGGGAGGAGTTAGAGAGTTATTGTAACTAATGTCCTTTTGGAGCAACTAACTCAACTTTTGGCACGGATCCAAGTTCATACACTAGAAAAAATAAGAAAAGGACCTTATTACAGGACAAGACATTGTTATTTTCTGAATAGACGACCTCTCACATGAATGGGGAGCTCCCAGCACGTGACTTACATTATTCCAATACAACAGACTAGAGTCACAAAAAGCAGACATCATAGAGGGATATAAACCTCAAAAGGAAATCACCAGAGAAAATCTTATTATTATTTAATTGAACATTCCAGTAAACAGAACTGTTTTTAACCTGGATTTGAAGAAGTCTGTCATAGAAAATCACAGTACATTAAAAAATAATGATAATAATAATGTATCGGTTTTATATATTGCTTTTCAGGACACTCAAAGATGCTTCACATGTCATTATTCTTTCACTCCATACACGGTGGTGATAAACTACTACTGTAGCCACCGCTGCCCTGGGGCACACTGACAGAAGCGGGGCAACCAGTATGTGCCATTGGCCCCTCCGACCACCACCAACCATTCACACACACACACCAGACTCATTCTAGGCAATGGGGGTGAAGTGTCTTGCCTAAGGACACAACAGTTTTGCACTTTGCCACGGTTCATCTCTGGCAGACACAACATGATCCTTTTGAGAAGTCCTTACGATTTGCCTTCAGCTTTCAGTCCTTGCTGGAATGTGAATCCTGAGATATGCACGTCCTGACACACAAAAACATGCTCACAGAAGTTGACAGAACTTTCTAAAGGATATTGGAGGATAAGATAAGATAAGAGTTCCTTTATTCGTCCCACAGTGGGAAAATTTCTAAATGACATCATACATGGTGTTGTGCTGTTCCAGGGTCTAGATGAGGTTTCGTCATTGAGCAAAGTTGCACTGGTCTTACATCAGCTCCATCCATCGTATCACCGTCTTATGTTTCTCCCATCAATAATGTCCTTCACGCAAAACCAAAAACTCCTTGATACAAACAGGTGTCCTATAGGCCCTGCCCTATAGTCCCTCTTGGCCCTGGTTCTATCCAGGCCGAGCTGGTCCTAAAGTGTGATTGGCCAGAGTGCTGCTGGCCAGTCACCACAGAATTTCCATGAACACTGTTGAACTAAAGTGTAATGAAAACACAACCAGGACAGTTTGGCACTTTACAGCCTGTGACCCTTTTACAAATTTAACAAAATAAAATATGCCACAACAGGTGTCACCCGTGAGCTTTGGGTGACCTTGATCTGTTAAATGAAGACTTACTTACTCACTCAAAAACACAATTAATCTGACCTAAGCATTTGACACGGATAATTATAATAATATTATTATTATTAATTCATATGTGGGGTGCCACAGGGATCCATTTTGGGTCCTCTTTTATTTATAATTTATATAAATGATTTAAGAACTGTTTATAAAAATGTACTGCCGATGATACATGTCTTTTATTATCTCACTTCAATGTTGACATGTTTATTAGAGAAGCAAATGAAGAATTATCAAATATCACTGAGTGGTTTACAGTAAATCTCTCTTAACAAAAAACAAACTATATACATTTTAGCACATAAAAGAGATAATCAACAGAATGCACACATTTTAATTGATGGTATCAGACTTAAACCAAGTTAATCAAACTAAATTTCTAGGTGTCATTGAAGATCAAAAGCTGACTTGGAAGCATCATATTCAACATGTTTGTCAAAAAATAATTACATCTGTTTGTATCTAAAGTAGAGTTTGCTATTTACTAAACACTATATTACAGTGTGATCTATCCTCACATTGTGAATTGATTGATGTATTGAAAATGCATATTTTCATATCATTTTATCTATTTGTGCAAATGAATAAATCAAATTAAAAAAAATCTTGTAGTGATAAACATCTGTTTCTCATGCCACCCTCTCCATGTGTCGCTGTCACCTCTCCATCCCACTCCTCTCATGGTGGCCTCTCCATCTCCCTCCTCTCATGGTGGCCTCAGCCAGGCCCTTTGACTCTTGTGGCCCCCGTGGTCGCTGTGGCCCCTGTGGCCCCTGTGGCTCTAGGTAAGCCCAATATCTTCACCTTCCATCTGAGCACTACACAGCTCGTCACATGTTGGCTGTATTGTGAGACTGTATTTCTGTATGTAGACAACACAGACCAGGGATGGACATTGGTCTGGTCTGGTCTGGTATGATTTTTATTTTTACAGGGACAGTGTTTAATGAACATTAGCCAAAAGGAGAGATGCTTTTTATCAGGTTGTAGCAGCAGTGCTAGTCTACAGCTGTAGTCGCTGAGCAGGTGATTTCACAGTAAAACAAAAGTAGATATTTTATATTCACTTTGACGCTCATGCTATGGCTCATTCCCTGTCAATAATCTATCAAATGAGGTTGAGGCTGTACATCCAGATCTGAGGCTATAGATCCAGGTCTGAGGCTCTATGTCCAAGACTGACGCTGTAGACCCATGATGGGGCTCCAGATCCAGGACAGAGGCGGACAAATGATAAACTATCCTCATTTACCTCTCCTATATAGAAAAGAACTTGAGATTTGTGGCGGGAGATTGTGAGATTGTGGCGGGAGGACTAGAACCTCCCGCCACAAGAACAGTTTCTTCCCCTCTGCTGTTGGACTCTTGAACACTTCTTAACCTGTCCCCCCGCCCTTTATAAAGTCACTTTACTGCCCTTCATACGTCACTTTACTTCACTGTACTGCTGTCACCTTACATTGTGTGCACCATGTGCACTTGTATATTGTAAATAGTAACTGTAACTCTATTCTTTTAGAAGTGTTTTTTATTCTTATTTTTATTATCTCTTTTTGACTGTTGCATTGAGCCAAAGCAATTTCCTAGTCTGTGACCTCCTGTTACTTACGTGGCAATAAAAATGATTCTGATTCTGATTCTGATTCTGAGATTTGAGATGTATTTAACTTGCTTAAATGCACTCAAATGGTCATCAGAATCTCAGCCCTGTCCGACCGCTCCATCCCTGGTCCGTAGCGTGCATACCGGACCTGTGTGTGGTGGTTTACCTGTGAGTGCTGTTGTGTCATGTGACCTCAGATCCCAGACTCCATCACCTCGCGGGGCGTGCAGGTGTTGCCGCGCGACACGGCGTCTCTCAGCACCACGCCCTCGGAGTCGCCGCGGGCTCAGGCCACTTCCCGTCTCTCCACGGCCTCCTGTCCCACGCCCAAGGTGAGTCCAGGGCGCCAGGTTGAATTCACAACGATCGTGTAAAGCGTTTTGTTCCCTGTCCAATGACCAATGTATTTTATTCAGCAAATAAACATTGAAAATCCGCCATCTTGTCTAAACTGACACATAAGCCCTGTTTCCACCAGTCCTACTCTACTCTACTTTACTTTACTCTGCAATACTCCATTCAACTCTACTCTGTTGGAAACGGGGCTTTACTGAGTACATAAATGCAGTATTTCTAGTACGACCCGTGTGTGTCCATCACGTGTCATATATATTCCCTTTTTTGTCTTTCTTCTCAATGTTTCCATGTGTTTTTGGGACAGCAGGCAGGTGGCAGCTTATAACTTGACTAAAATACTGAGGTGGGAGCGGCTGAGGAGGCTGATTGGGGTTGCTGCAGTAGAAGTGTGCGTGTGGTTGATCAGTGATTGCGTAGACTGAAAGACAAACTAATACTATGTGTATATAATGGAGCGGACAGACTGAGTGTGACGTCCCCTTGTGCCGCGCTCAGACCGGTTCATGCGTTGCGTCGACTTTCAATGCAAAGTCAAAGGTTATGCGTGTTCGAGCGTCGAACTGCATGTGTGTTTCTCGGGATGCACGCATGGACTCCGCGGTAGAGACGCACGGACTGCGAGGCAAAGGCGCGGCAGAGGCGCATGAGTGGAAAATCGACACACACAGGAGATAAATATTGCTGAACGTTTCCTCAGGTTAACCCTAATCAAAGAGCCGCAAAGTGCAATTCATTTGCAGAATCTCAGAGCAGAACACACAGATTGTGAGGGGGAGAAGTGAAGATGAGAAAGAGAAGAGGTGAGGAGGGGAGAGAGAAGAGAAGCGGGGAAAGGAGTGGGGAGATGGTGAAGAGGAGGGGAGCAGAGTAGGGGAGAGGAGAGGAAAAATCTGTATCTTATAAACATTCCAAAAAGGCTGTTCCTTCCTCTTGTTAGTATCACCTGACATGTCTGATGCGAACCTCCATCACAGAGCTCCCACAGCCCCCTCTAGTGGCCAACCTCCAACCCTTGTTTTGACTCTAACCATCTATTCAACCATAATGATGTTAGATAATCCTAAATGAGTGAGTCCTCTTTTAGTGACATTTCTTCCTCTGTTGCTAAATGTTAGCATTTATGTTCAACCCGGATCAACGTGACTCTAATCTGAAAATAGAAGACAAAGTGTGAATGCGATGTCGATCATTTCCCGTGTGTGATTTGCACGTCTCCATCTGTCCTGTTACATGGAACACTCCGGAGGCCTCTCCAGACCCATGCAGCCGACTGTGCATAATGAGCAGACCAGGGACAGTCTGAGCCCAAATCTACTTCTCATACTCTAGGATACTCTCTGATACTTTCTCATGTTCTCTGATTCTTGCTCATAATCTCTGATACTTTCTCATACTCTCTGATACTTTCTCATACTCTCTGATATGGAAGTGGGTGTGAGGAGACGGATGTGAGGTTCAGGGCTGATGCCAACTGCTCAGAAAAGCTACAGCCGATAAACTTTGTCTATGTTATGGCCATTTTTATAATCATCTGAGGCAAACTGGAGAAGAGAGGGAAGAGGAAAGCAGGGAGAAGAGAAAGACCAGAGAGAGAGACCAGAGAGAGGGACCGGAGAGAGAGACCGGAGAGAGACCATAGAGAGAGACCGGAGAGAGAGACCAGAGAGAGAGACCAGAGAGAGAGACCATAGAGAGAGACCATAGAGAGAGACCATAGAGAGAGACCGGAGAGAGAGACCATAGAGAGAGACCGGAGAGAGAGACCAGAGAGAGAGACCAGAGAGAGAGACCAGAGAGAGAGACCGGAGAGAGACCAGAGAGAGAGACTAGAGAGAGAGACCAGAGAGAGACCAGAGAGAGACCAGCATAGAGAGATGAGAGAGAGGCCAGAGAGAGAGGCCAGAGAGAGAGACCATAGAGAGAGACCAGAGAGAGAGGCCAGAGATAGGGACCAGAGAGAGAGACCAGAGAGAGAGACCAGAGAGAGAGACCAGAGAGAGAGGCCAGAGATAGGGACCAGAGAGAGAGACCAGAGTTGGGGGCCAGACAAAGAGACCAGAGCACAACAAATCAGCTGTTGTCTGTTGTGGATTCACCAACAATTCACCACAGATCAGAGAAACAGTTCAAACACAGGAAATAACAATCTCATAGGAGCCATTGGTCCATAGGGAGCGGGATGACCACTGTCCAGAAATGTTAATATACAGTGTTTGATTAGTTTAGAGATATTTTCAAATCAAAGTACCATTTTGATAATTACCCAAAGAAGTTGTTTGAATATCGTCGTGCCAGTGTTTGCTCCTCATTCACACCCGGCTCGTTCCCAGACGGAAGCGCGCTCTACAGGCTGCTCCTCGGCTCCAGACGACATATGTTCAGGATGTTCCCAGGTCGAGAGAGAGCGTGGTTGCCAGACACACGTGGTTGCCAGATACATGTACACACGGTCCCTGGAGCCCGTCTGCGATTACTCAATCAGCTCAGGTGGTGCCGCGGCCCCCAGTTCTCCTGAGGATTACATGTCGCCCTCTGCCAATTTATCAAGGTGTAAATGTGCAGCTTTTAGTTGTAGGAGAGACTGGGGTTAGTGAGGCTTCACCTTAAAGCAGCAGTACCTAATATTTCATTATAATTTGTGTACATGTGAGTCAATATTTGACTCTTTAGGCAGAGAGCTGAGTGAGGGCAGTCCTGTCTTTTTAACTTTTTCTGTCAGAATAAGCTGATCTAAAGATGGCCAAAAAATACATGTATGTGAAACTACACCAAGATCAAGACCGAGGCTGAGACCAAAACCGAGACCTAGATCAGACACAGACCAAGATCAAGACCTCAAGAAATATGTGAAAACTAGTGATGTTCCGTGCTAACCATGGCTTCCAACAGCACGTCGGCTAATCTTTACTTTAGCACCAGCTTCGTCCAAGAGGGACTAAAGAAGGACCTGGTTTCGGTTAAACAGGGCCAGTGGAAACCGTCCCAATCCGAGTAGAGTAGAGCCGAGTAATAGCAGAGAAGAGCAGGGCTGGTGGAAACAGGGCTATGCTAACAATTCCTTTCAATTCAATATAGTTAATTTTTGTATAGGCCCAAGTCATTGTGATTTGTCTTGGAGGACTTTTCAAAGTTGTCAATTCGCCTACACAGATCAGAGAATCAAACACAGGAAATCCAATGATAGAAAAAAAAACAAAAGAACCATTGGTCCATAAGGGGCGGACCACCATCCTTCAATGTAAATAAATGACCATAAATGTCCTTGAACATCATTTAACAATAGCCACACTGCTAACTTCTCTAACATTTGTCCTTAATCATACTGCTTTTTTGCAATAAACTATTAGCATATAACAAAATACAAAGTGATTTACACCTGCTTTGATATTACCCCTTTGTGAAAAACAAACTATATGACAAAGCTATGCGGCTGCGGCTTGTATGACACACTTTATTTCCCAGGTGTAATCCAGACCAATATGGAGCCTGCACCTCCTCCTCAGCCACAGTGAGTCTGGGGCCCGTCCCGTCTGTCCGATGCTTCATTAACTCCCAGCCTCTTACATAAGCGCTCTAGATGCTCACACGAGTGGAAGCCGCCTGTGTCGGTTCACTGTGACAAAAGCAACGGTTTAAGATGTGTTTAAGACAAGAAATAAAGCCTTGATCTTATAGATAGATAGATAGATTTGTGTGTAGATTTATAGATTTATAGATAGATTTATTTGTGTAGGACAGCATATGTGTTATTAGGGCAACAATATTTCTGGTCTTTCTCTCTGCTGGTCTCTTTCTGGTCCCTCTCTAGTCTCACTCTCTCTCTCTCGATTTCTCTTTCTGGTCACTGTGGTCTCTTGTTGGTCTCTAGTATTGCTTCGTGTTCTCTCCCTGGTCTCTCTCTCTGGTCATTCTCTCTAGTCTCTCTCTGGTCTCTCTCCCTGGGCTCTCTCTCTGGTCTCTCTCTCGCTCTCTCCCTCTCAGGTCTCTTTATTGTCTCTCTCCCTGGTATCTTCCTCTGATATCTCTCTGGTCTTGGTCATTCTGTCTGGTTCCTCTCTCTCTATGGTTTCTCTGGTCTCTCCCTCTTGTCTCTCTGGTCTCACTGTCTCTCTCTCAATCTCTCCTTCTCTGTGGTCGTCTCTGGTCTTGCTCTGGGGTCTCTCCCTGGTCTCTCTCTCTCTGGTCTCTCCGGTCACTCTCTCTGGTCTATCTGGTCTCTCTTGTCTCTTTCTCTTTTCTCTCCGATCTTGGTCACTCTGGCTGGTCCTCCTCTCTCTCTATGGTATCTCTCTCTTGTCTCTATCTCTAGTCTCTCATCTCTGTGGTCTCTCTCTGGTCTCTCTGACTTTGTGAATCTAATCACCACCAAATAATGATCTGGAGAAACAACAACATTCAAAATTTCTTACAAAAATAGCTTCTTTCCATAGAGTTGTATTGGAGCTTGCCCTTCAGCTGAAAGAGAATTCTACAACATGTAAGATTCAGTTGGAGGGAAGGTGCCAATACAACTCAATGGGACAAAGGAAATGTTCTAACACTTTTTGAAAGAGAAGAAAAACCATAAAAGATATGATCAAAAAGCAGATTCAATGGTTACACACACTTATCGGGTTTGACAGGATCGGTCTCAAAGTAAAAGCTCATTAAATTGGTCTCCTACATTCTGTCTGGCAGTCTGTATCTTCATAAAGCGGTTTCCCTTGGCTTTGCTAAATGCTTACATGCACACACACGTTACGCCGATGGCCGACAGTAGAACGGCTGTAGTGACCTGTCCACAGAGATTTATGGACACTGTAAAATCAGCTGACTACAGGCGGGCTGATCAATCAAACATCCAGCCGCTACAGCACTTTGTCGGCCTGAGGGTCAGAGGCAGAAACCACCAGGAATACTATGTACTGACCATCCAGCAAAACACAGCTCAAAGCATGAGACATCAGAACGTGACCTGCTGCATAGAAAAGATACA